GATTTTAGTCAAGCATGATGAATGAATTTAACTAATTGTTGATGGAACAAACCATTCTGCACTGGAGCACTGTAACACTTTATTTTGTAACTGTGTTTTATACATGTTTATTGGATATGTGGATGTGGATGTGGATGTGTGGATGAATGAAATGCGAAATGTGGGACCTGCCTCTCAAATCTGCAAAACAAATTTACCTACGAATTTACAAATAATAAAACGACTTAACCTAACCTAGTGATAGTTTATTTTCTATGGTGAATTAGCATAAGATTTAATCATGTTCTAATAATCCATAACACTAAAATAATCCATAAATATAACACAAAACACCATAGTTATCAAGGGGGTTTAGACTGAAGTTTAACATTTATTTTGAGCTACAGTGTTTGACCAATTTCCCTTGTGGATCAATGACGTTAAATTAAGTTTTGCTATAACGTTTAAAGGTGCATTGTGTAACTTTTCGGGTGGAGCTTCCGTCAGATGCTTTTGTCCGTGGATGTGTTATTGCTTTGTCTGGAATGTTTCACAGTATGTGCTGCAAAAACCAAAATCTAGCCAAGTTAAGTTAAGATGACTTGAATGAACAAAGTTTCATCATGATTTGCGTAAATTTCACTTGACAAGTAAAATGATCTGCCAGTGGAACAAGACTTTTTGTAGTTAAAATACGAAAATACATCTCGCAACACTTAAAATAAGAAAAACAACAACTTTTTGCGCTGAAAATAAGAATGTTGAATTAAGAAAGAAACTTGTCAAGTTGAATCTACTCAAATAAAGTCAAATATTCTTAATTTAAGTCATTTTAACTTCCCTAGATATTATTTTCCAGCCTTTCTATCTTCACGGACCAAACTAGGCAATATTACAGGTCAGATCTGTGGAGAGGCGACCCGCTCACAGTCAGAATACCTAATTTATGAGGTATTTTTGAGCTATAAAACCAGAAGAGATGTTTAATGTCACACTGCAGAACCTTCCTTTTAACTTCCCCAGATATTGTTTTCTAGGCTTTCTATCTTCACGGACCAAACTAGACCAAGTTACAGGTCAGATCTGTGGAGAGGCGACCCGCTCACAATCAGAATGTTTGTTTTTTGAGGTATTTTAGAGCTATAAAACCATTAGAGATGTTTAATGTCACACTGCAGAACATTCTTTTTAACTTCCCTACATATTGTTTTCTAGGCTTTCTATCTTCACGAACCAAACTAGGCAATGTTACGGGTCAGATCTGTGGAGAGGCGACCTGCCCACAGTCAGAATACATGTTTTTTGAGGTATTTTAGAGCTCTAAAACCAGTACAGATGCTTATTGTCACACTGCAGAACATTCCTTTTAACTTAGATATTGTTTTCAAGGCTTTCTATCTTCACGGACCAAACTAGATCATGTTACAGGTCAGATCTGTGGAGAGGCGACCCGCTCACAGTCAGAATACCTGTTGTTTGAGGTATTTTTGAGCTATAAAACCATTAGAGATGTTTAATGTCACACTGCAGAACATTCCTTTTAACTTCCCTAGATATTGTTTTCTAGTCTTTCTATCTTCACGGACCAAACTAGATCATGTTACAGGTCAGATCAGTGGAGAGGCGACCTGGTCACAGTCAGAATACCTAATTTTTTTGAGGTATTTTTGAGTTATAAAACCATTAGAGATGTTTAATGTCACACTGCAAAACATTCCTTTTAACTTAGATATTGTTTTCTAGCCTTTCTGTCTTCACGGACCAAACTAGATCATGTTACAGGTCAGATCTGTGGAGAGGCGACCCGCTCACAGTCAGAATACCTGTTTTTTGAGGTATTTTGGAGCTATAAAACCAGCTGTAATTGAATAAAACAAACAGTAGAGGTGTTTAATGTCACACTGCAGAACATTCCAGGCACAGCAACGGCAAAAAAGTTACGCAGTGCACCTTTAAGCGTCAAATGTGAACATATAAAAACACGCTTTATATTTGTGAAAGCGTCCCAGCCCGTGCGTCTGTACTCTTTGGCTGTCAGCATTATGCAAATCACGCAGTGTAGTTTGAAAAGGTTGGAGATGAATGCTCAAACAGCCATTTTATTTGATGTTTTTATCCCCCGTGGCTGTATGCATTATCAAACCACGGCGTTTTTGAATTCCCGCGTTTAAGCAGGTTTTACAGATCAGACTTCTTGATATATATACATGGCTATCGCTTTTGTGAGTGCAGCCTCCTCCTCCCGTGATTGACAATCCCATTCACCTTTAAGTGCCGGCTTGCTCTCCTCTGCTTTTAATTTCAAATAGATGCCTGGTTTTGTGGCGTTTTCCTCTCTCTCTCCTTTCACCGCCACTTGGAAGTAAAAATATAAGAGAAAAAAAAGTCAAAATAATAACACCCTATGGCACGTTTTGGTTTTCTCGCCACTGTATTACAAAAAAGGGATTCTGGAGCTATTTGAAAAGCAGACACACACCATCAGACCGTGCTGCCTTCAAGGACGAATAGGGGAAAAGAGCACTGTTATTATACACAAATAAAACGTCACATTCAAATTACAGGCACCTGCGAATAATTGGAGGAATAAGGAATAAAATCTGAATTGAAATCCGTCTCACTTTTGGCTTTTATAGGAACGTAATGTAGGGCTAAAACTGATAATCTTGTAAACATCTGTAAACGTCAAATGTTAAAATAATAACGTAAACAGCATTTCTGAATTTAATCACAAGAAAACTCAAATTCAAGACTAAATTATACTTCTGGAGCCTTCTGAAATAAACGTTGTTACCAGATTTGATTTAAAATATTAAGAATTACCTATAAACTAATTGAGTACATGACTGCTGTTTTTTGAAATAGAAAATTCATTTAAATTTTCGTCTTAAATTTTTGTTTTCGCTACCACATTTAAACAAGAATATAAAGGCCGAATACTGGAAATTTCTGAATTTGCTGATTAATTTTGAATTGTATTTGTAGCTATCATATCATTTATTAATTAAAATAACAAAACCAAATAAAATCTGAGCTTTTCAGTGCATTTCTTAATCCTACTCCAGTGATTCCAGTGATTATCTAGACATTTTAAGAACAGATCTTTGTATCTTGGTATCTTGTTTTACAGATAAAACGCAATGGGAACAAATAAAACATGATTGGCCAATTATTGAAGTGTGAATAAGTCATTTGATGTGATTAAATGTTGACAGGAGGCAAAGGTGAGTTAAAGGCTTTGTTGGAATAATGGAGTGTAAAGCGTTTTGTAGATCGGACCATTAAAGGGGATGTTAAAAATGCGTTGAGGCCCATGAAAGGAAATGCATTATAAACACAGAGAAGACGCAAAGACTGGGTAGCAATAAATTCTATAACTCAAAACATATATTTATTTCTTGTTTTTGTATATATTTTTCTTTGCATTTAATAAAACGAGCTAAGAATCACAGTGATGTACTTTTACTTCATTTAGAAATGCGCTTTGGTACGCGACATCACAGCAAAACTAAAGCACGGAAATGAGATGGAAAAATTATTATTGTCGTTCTTTCTTTTTTCCCTCTTTTTTGTTTTGGTTCAAACAAATAAAGAAGTTGAAAACAACTTAAAGCGAAAGCGAAGGGAAATAATTTGAAATGTTCTGTCGCTAAAGAGGATAAAAATGAAACGCGTAATAATGAAATAACAGAAGAGAGCGGGGAAAGCGGAGGGCTCTTGTAGCCGTACAGTGCCGAGTGTGGAGTCCATCTCTGGAGTTGATTGAAATTCGTTGTTTTATGGCATTAATGTCGCGCAATACGCATCTCTCCAGCTCTGCGCTCTTGGATAATCTGTGTCCACATCTAAACGGCACATTCTCAAATCACAAACGGATCTATCAGCCGCCTGAGCATGTGCTAACGACCCATTCAGTCTTAAATGCAATCAGCGTGTCCCATTAGCCTCTGCAGCGGCAATCCACGTTCCTACACAGCGGCGTCCTCCTCCCTCCGCTCCGCGCAGCCTATGTTGATTAGAGCTGTAAATATGCAATAACTTCTCTTTCTTTCGCTCAATGGAGACGATAATGGCTCGTTATCTTATCGCGGTCAGGGGGGAAAGGTTCCGTGTTGTGAAGCCGTGGAGAGGGACCAGCTGCTGGGAGGAAAGCACCCCGCAGAGAGAGCGCGCAGGCCGGGTAATGAGCCGAGGCCGCGCGTTATGGGCACTGGACACTGTCTGGCACAGACACGGTAATTTGTGTTTATGCGCAGCAGCGCAAACACCGGTGAGGTTTTACGCACGAGCAAAAAAAGCAAAACACTTGTAAATAAATACGAATTAAAGATTAAATAGGCCATCTATAGAGTAGGGCTATTGGATAGGCCTACATTTAATACCCTTTTACTGTAACTCAGAGAGACTATTTACCCGCATTATTACTCTACGAGTTTCGATCAAATAAAATTAGATAAACAGTAAATCACTGAATAATTATTTTTTGCTGTATACGTGAACTTTTTCAGTAGGTGCTCTGAAGAGTGCTCTGAGGCAGAGACACTGCGCGTGGCTACGCACTTTAAATGAGATTTAGCGTCGTGATTTGTCACTTGTTTGTAGCTCTTATTGCTATACCAGACTTGATGGAAAGGGCGTAAACGCCTCCTCATTGTAAACACTAATGTGCTCTATAGATTACGATGCCTTCAGTGACAAGAAAATAATCGGATTACTCTGCAGGAAGAGCTTCTCAGGTCCAACACTGGAGTTGTCCAAAAAGTCTGCAAACAGTGCGGATTATCTTAATTGAATTAATTCTCAATACACAGCGCTGCAGCTGATCCCAGAGCAGCGCCGCTGCGTGGTGACGTCAGTGGGGTATAAAGGCGGTGCTCCTGCGCTGGTCCTCAGCCTGTCCCACCCAGAGGAGCGCAAACAGTGAACAGACTTCAGAGCAACATGACGCACTTCTAGGAACTAGACGCAGGACGCTTCCACATCCGGACATTTACTTTTATTCGCTCTTTTACTCACCTCTTGTCGTTTGGAGCCGCGGTGATGCCCGCTGGGATGTTCAGCATAGACAGCATCTTGTCCGGACGGACGGGCTGCAAAGAGCCGCTGCTGCTGCACAGGAGCCCCGTGCTTCTGTCCACCGCGGGCCTTACGGACTCTATTTACCCCGATTATAATGGACTATATTCGGCCACATGCGGCCCGTCTCCTCCCGGTGTGCAGTCCGTTAGCGGGACTAGATTGGGATATAACAGCTACTACTACGGACAACTACACGTTCAGGGGCCCGGGGTCCAGGGGGCCGGAGGAGCACCGCCCTGCTGCGGGTCTGTGCCCGGCCTCAGCCCACAGCAATGCCCCTGCATCCCACCAGGTGAGAACATGTTACGACCATCTGACCCTGTTCCGCAAAGTGTTTGGTACACCGTGTACAGTTGCGCTTGGCTAAATTGCTGCAATTATGCATCCACATTTTTGTCAAACTGAGCATGTGAAGGAATGTCAGGGGCGTGGGTCATTTCAAAGAGACCATTTAAACTTTTCTCTTTATTCTAAAGTTGGAAAACTTTACCGAACTGCCAACTTTGTTTTTTCGTAAAATGCGCGTGTGAGATTGAAACATGACGTGGTGCCTGACCGTAAAAGTGATGCTTTTAGGCGTTGTTGTGTCTGGCGCGCTGGACTGTGGCGCGAGACTTATAGGGCTGTGATTGTAACAGACGTTGTCCAGTTCTTTAGTAAACACGTCAGGGTTTATTGCTTTTACGCGTGATTTAAAGCCACATTTCCTCATTCGTATAAATACGGCAACTTTCTAATCTTTCTTCATTGACCTGAAGGTCCACGCGCGCATGTACACAACTGTGCCCACACTGTCTATTTGGCAGACATAACTCTCGGAGGTGTTTATGCATTTGTACACTAAGCGCCCTCTGAATAGCACTGAGCGTACGCTGTTTACACCCGTGCAGGTTACGAGAGCCCGGCCTCCGTGCTGCTGTCCCCGGTCCCGCAGATGATGTCCTACATGAACATGAGTCTGTCCCGCACCGAGCTCCAGCTCCTCAACCAGCTGCACTGCCGCCGGAAGCGCCGCCACCGGACCATCTTCACGGACGAGCAGCTCGAGGCACTGGAGGGCCTCTTCCAGGAGACCAAGTACCCGGATGTGGGCACGAGGGAGCAGCTGGCCCGAAAAGTGCACCTGCGCGAGGAGAAAGTCGAGGTAAGAATCGAGGCTTATATTTTACGCATTTACTTTTCTGCAAGAATATGAGTGACTGTTATTGTTTTAATGGCAACCATGGCCAACCTTTCAAATCAGGCACCCACAAATATGTTATTAAAAATAACACACCTTTTATTTGTTTTATGGAGTATAAATTTGCTTCCACAAATAGGCTACTATGGGCACGTGTTATTTAATATATAACCATAGAAAGAATAATTTCCTTTATTATAAAATAGCCTAATGTAGCACATGCGTCGTGAAGTGATCCATCAAATCAAGTAAAAGTGTTCAAATGTATTTTGTCTTAAAATTAATAAATTTACAAGCGTCTAAATGTGTCTTTTCTCGTCTCGTTTAGGTTTGGTTCAAAAACAGACGCGCGAAGTGGAGGAGGCAGAAACGCTCTTCGTCAGAGGAGTCCGAGAACGCGCAGAAATGGAACAAAACGAACAAAATGTCCGCGGAGAAAGCCGAGGAGAGTAAGAGCGAGGCGGACTCTGACAGCTGACCGTGCCCGCGCGCGCAGGCCTCGGCTTGTACATAGAGTGGACAGTCTGTGGACTCGACCTCGTGGTGTGAACCGTGTCGCCATGTTGCACAGTTGTACATAACTACAGTTTATTATGTGTCCTTTATTTATATTTATTTAAGTCTTTTGTAAAGTAAGGCGGCGTCAGGCCACGAGTCTATGGTGATGTTCTATGTGACATTCAATGTTGTATCTGGCGCTTGGTCTGCAGCTCCTGCGCTTTGACGCAGCTGTACAAACTGCACGAGGAGATTTGAGCAGCTCTACGTGTGCAGCCTTTATACACTATGAACTATTTTATTTCGCCAGAATAAAAAAAATACTTAAAATGAAATGAGTATACATTAAAGTCAACCAAATATCAGTCACTTGTAAATTGTCTTATTTGATCTGGGTACGTTCTTTCTCATTACACAAACTCTTACTCACGTCTCTTCTGAAATACAATTTGTATTTTGTGGCCTATTTTTGAAATTCACAAACGGACTCGAAACACATACATTTTGTTTATTTATTTTTTCTTCTAATCAACAGGATCTGACGCGTCTTTACGCACGCGTCCATGTTAGAGATCAGATCATCTTACAGTCTTCTGTTGTTGTTTTGTGTTATTATAGACCTACATAAGGTGTAAAAATCTATCCAAGCACAGTAAACACTTTTAATATAACATGATCACGTTTGAAAATGTTTTTCAAAAAATCTTTTTTTTTTTTTTTTTAAACATGTCATTGAATGAACACGCAGAGGCCACTAAGGGTTTGGTTTGCGTTTCTTTGTTAAGCTACGAGACAATGAATACGTGCAGGCCTATATAATAAAAGAATACATCTATTTTTAACATTTTTATTAGAGGAAAACTAGACTCAAATCTAGAAAAAGCACAGGCCACGTGCGGAAAATTACACAACCAAAACCAGTAAATCACTGCGCGCTATTTTCACGCGCGTGTGTAAAGTGACTTTAAACGTCCATCTCTCATCAGTGGAAGCTAATTTATTTATTTTGCCGTTACATTAAACTGGGGAGGAGGAATGAGGAGCTCATTTGGATCTAGACAAAACATCAGACATTACTGACAATTTATAGCTTCTATGGTTAATTACAAAACCAAACTCTGGGCACCAATTAAAAGAAATAATAATAATAATAATAATAATACAAAAATAACAAAAAGTAAAACAAATAAAACGGTTTGATTTGCAAACGTACGACGCACGTCAGCACGAAGCAGTAATTTTATAACCAAAGTAACATGGCCACATATTCAAGTTTGAGCAGCAGGAGCCACGAGTCTGAACGACGACACGAGACTTTAGGTTATAGAGCAAATATTGAATTATTCAGCTGCTTTCGCTTCAAATTAATTTCAAAACGGCAAACATAAACCACTCACAAGCACACGGCCAGTGGAATGACCTAACACTCAGATAGTGCGCTAAAAATATCTGAATATTCTTGTTGTTTTGTAAATGGAAACTTCATAAATCCAGACATTTTAACTATAATTCAAATATGATTCTAACTGATTTTGTAATTTTGTCATTTTTGTGCTTCGGGTTTCGTGTCTTGAATCAGTAAGAGTCGTTTTTGGCTAAAGAATAATTTGAACCTCAATAATTACCTGTTACCCACTAAAACCACAAACAAAAGATAAAAAACTGAACTGCCTTTAACATTTGACAATATCTCAAAAGTAGGTTATGGCCTAAATTTATAACATTCATTTTCAATTTTGACGGGGAAAAAATAGATCTATTGGTATATTTTCTCATGACCCATTCGGTTAAGTGCTTTCACTTTACACTAGCCTGTGTCCTTTTTTAACTTACTCAAATCATTTAGTCACTATTTCCAGTTACACCTTAAATAAAGTGTGTTTTTTATACCAGCTTCTGCCAGACATAATAATTCGTTTCGACACTACGTCACCTGATGACTTTAAGCAGAATGAAAACCACCCGTACTGTTTTTAAATTTCAACATCTGTAAACGTGTCAATTTTTAAAATCATTTTATTTTTTCAGACTGGGACAAAATTGTAAATAGAAAGAGCACACGCTTCGATAAAAATACAGCCACACAAAACGAACTTAGACAAAATGTATTGGTGCACAAGGGAAATTATTTGGTCACAGCAGCTCACACATCACAATATAATATAATAACAAATAGTAGAAATATAAATTGTAATAATAAATTGAAAATAAGTAGAAAAAATAGCAAGAAATTGGCGTGAAATGGTGCGTAAAAATAAAAGCTTCGTAAACAAAACGCACAAATAAATCACAAACGATGCCAATATCTGGGAATACGTCAATATTTAAAAAAAAAAATGATGTCCAGATATATACATCTTAAATTTCAGCCTCTCTCCAAACCCCGGACAGCGCGCTTAGCCCATACCATAACCGTGCGTAAATTTGTGCGCACTTTTTTTGCTGACTGCGTCTCTTTTGTCATATTGGTTTGTGTATAGGAACAGACGATAATTACAGCCTTTAACATAAGTCAGCCTTCCTCGTGACCTTTCCAAAGCAGATTAAACCAGGGCCAGTTGTGCTGCGTTTGGCTCGCGCTCAATCCCCGTGTACGGCGTGATTTACGACGTGTTGCCGTCCACCCAGAACCCTCACACATACATCTGTTTTCTCAGCGCCAGTAATTTAACATTTCAAAAAATTTAATTCATTTCTTTTTCTAAAACCATTATTTCTTTGACCTTTTATATGCAGTTTCCCAGAACTTGGAAAAACAAAGGCGGGGTCCAAGAAAAATGTGAGTGGAGTTTGAGCGCAGATAAATCCTGACTTCATTTGCAAGTATTAGAAGTATGTGAGACAGCTAAGGGAAAGTGTCTGTTTACAGCTTCTTTTAAAGGATTACTACGTGTTTTGAGCTGTATGGAAAATGGGAGTTGAGCTGGAAATAACTAAACAATAATAAGAAGAAAAAAGTTAAAAAAAATTCGAAAAATGTGAGTTGAGTTTGAGCTCAAATAAATCCTGATTTCATTTGCAAATATTAGAAGTATTTGAAACAGGATCTGAGACAGCAGCTTCTTCAAAATACAATGTGTTTTGAGCTTTACGGAAAGTGGGGGTTCAATTTGAAATAAATAAACAATAATGAGAAAAAAAATGGAATGTCAAGAGAAGTGTGAGTTCAGTTTGAGCTCAGATAAATCCTGATTTCATTTCAAATATCAGAAGTATGTGAAACAGGATCAGAGACAGCAAAAGGAAAGTGTCTGTTTACAACTTCTTTTAAAAAATTACTATGTGTTTTGAGCTTTATGGAAAATAGGAGAGAGGTAAGATTGAAGTAGAGACATTTTGAAAAAAGAAAAACATTTCTAGAAAAATGTGAATTCAGTTTGAGCTCAGGTAAATCCTGATTTCATTTGCAAATATCAGAAGTATGTGAAACAGGATCAGCGACATCTTAGGGAAAGTGCCTGTTTACTACTTCTTTTAATGTGTTATGAGCTATATGGACAATGGGAGTTAAGATTGTAGATAGAAGACATTTAGAAAAAAGAAAAACATTTCTAGAAAATCGTGAGTTCAATTTGAGCTCAAATAAATCCTTATTTCATTCAGGATCAACGTCGTCTTGGAGAGTGTCTGTTTACAACTTCTTTAAAAATACTATTTGTTTTGAGCTTTATGGAAAATGGGAGTGAAGGCTGAAATAAAGAAATTTTGAAAAAAGAAAAACATTTCTAAAAAAAAAAAAAAAAAAAAAACGTGAGTTGAGTTTGAGCTCAGACAAATCCTGATTTCATTTGTATTAGAAGTATGTGAGACAGGCAATGGGGAAAATGTCTGTTTAAAGCTTCTTTTAAAAAAATGACTACGTGTTTTGAGCTTTATGGACAATGGAAGTTATGGTTGAAGTAAAGAAATTTTGAAAAAAGATAAACATTTCTAGAAAAATGTGAGTTCAGTTTGAGCTCAGATAAATCCTGATTTCATTCACGTATATCAGAAGTAGATGACTACGTGTTTTGAGCTTTATGGAAAATGGGAGTTAAATATGAAATAAATAAACAATAAGAAGAAAAAAACTGGCATGTCAAGAGAAGTGTGAGTGGAGTTTGAGCTCAGATAAATCCTGATTTTATTTGCAAATATTAGAAGTATGTGAAACAGGATCAGAGACAGCAAAAGGGAAGTGCCTGTTTACAACTGTCTTTTAAGGTATATGGAAATGAAATAAAAATTTTTGAAAAAAGAACATTTCTAAAAAACATGGGTTCAGTTTGAGCTCAGATAAATCCTGATTTAATTTGCAAATATTAGAAGTATGTGAGACAGGCAACTTCTTTTTAAAAAAAATACTACATGTTTTGAGCTTTATGGACAATGGAAGTTAAGATTGAAGTAAAGAAATTTTGAAAAAAGAAAAACATAAAAAAAAAAAAACTTGAGAAGTTTGAGCTCAGATAAATCCTGATTTCATTTGCTAGTATTAGAAGTGTGAAACACGGACAGAGATATCTTAGGGAGTGTCTGTTTACAACTTCTTTTAAAAGATGACTAGGTGTTTTAAGATATAGGGCAAATGGGAGTTAAGGTTGAAATAAAGAAATTTTGAAAAAAGAAAAACCTTTCTAGGAAAAAAAGTGAGTGGAGTTTGAGCTCAGATAAATCCTGATTTCATTCGCAAATATCAGAAGTATGTGAAAGAGGATCAGAGACATCTTGGGGAGTGTCTGTTTACAACTTCTTTTAAAAGATGACTAGGTGTTTAAAGATACAGGGCAAATGGGAGTTTGAAATAAAGACATTTTGAAAAAAAAAAAAAAATTCTAGAAAAACATGAGTTCAGTTTGAGCTCAGATAAATCCTGATTTCATTTGCAAATATCAGAAGTATGTGAAACAGGATCAGAGACATCTTAGGGAAAATACCTGTTTGAAACTTCTTTTAATGTGTTTTAAGCTTTACAGAAAATTTGGGAAAAAAATGGGAGTT